TTGGGATGTTTTCTTAATGCACACTTAACCTTTATATAAAACTCTCTCTTATACGTGAGTTTCTGTGGATTTGTTTCTCTAAAGTACCCAGACTGACACAGTAGGGGTGGAGTCTAGCCTGTCAATCCAGCGATGGTCAGTGAGGCCTCTGTGTGGGCATGACCTTCTCCTGAGAATTCTTCCTTGGAGACGGGAGACACTTCCCTCCCTACTTCACTTCCTTGGAGACACTCTACTAACTAGGCTGACTCCCTGTGAGACATTCCCGAGGAGAAGCCACAGGGACCCACCCTGATGCAGCCAGAACCCTGGACCTGGAGATGCCACTTGGAGACCCTGCCAGCTCTGAGATGCTTACAACGCCACTGGATCCAGAAGACTTTCTACCCAATAACTCTTTATATAAAACTCTCTCCTATACACATATGCGTTTGTATGGATTTGTTTCTCTAGTCCACCCGGACTAGCACAGGAGGGTCCTGGGAACCCCCTCTCACTCTCTCTCTGCCTTCAGCTTCTGGGTGAGGAGACAAGCTGAGACCTGCACCAGGCCCACCGCCATTGGGTCCACAAAACTTTGCACCCACCAGCCTCTGGTCTCCCTGCCATCTGCATCATTGCATGTGACTGTGTGAGTCTGGAGAGGGACTTATGGACGAGAGTTGGACTTATGGACTTGATCTGGACTGGGCTGGGATGTTTGCTTGATGTATAATTAATTACTTCTTGATATAAAGCTCTCTCTTATGCCTACATGTGTGACACTGGATTTGTTTCTCTAGTCAACCCGGCCTAGCACAGTCACCCTCCAGGCCTGTCATTGAACTCCCTCCTGAAGCTCAGTTTCAGTCAAACAATAGACAGGCCAGTAAGGCAAACAGTAACCCTGGAGAGGCGCCCACCCCTTAGAAGAGCCAACCAGTCAAGATCAAAGGGCAAGATGTTCCCAGGAGGAAATGCAGAAGGTGGGAGAGTGAGGAAAGAAGGAACAACGGACACAGGAAACACAGGTGTCAGGATGTACCACCTCAGGAACCCGTGACAGGCCGTGGCCAGTCAGAAGGGGCTCGATGGCAGTGGGTCTGGTCTGGGTTCAGTCCTTGTGGTCCAGCAACAAAATCACTTCTCATGAGACCAACTACATGTACTGAGACATCTGCAAGTCTAAAACCTGCTGGCCAACTTTCCAGCCACCCGATCACGCGCTCAGCTCAGAGCTGCCACGGTGAGGCCACTGCAGGGGCTTTGGTTTCCATGGCTCCGTGTGGATGCACGGCCAGCGTGCTTCTGTTTCGGCCGTTGCTGGTGCCTTCACGGCCACTGATTCGGTCACACGTTCAGATTTTCACCATAGTATGGTGGAACTGGTATCTGTGGACTATACCCATAATAGTTCCAAAGAGTGAGTAGTATTGGAAGGATGAGAAAGAGAAAAATAAGCAATGTCTTCCACTAAGTTGCTAGTAATGCCACAGCTAGGAATGTTGTCATTCAGTCTAGAAAGATTTTACAAAACAACTTGGATTTTAGGGTTCATAAAATCTGAGAAATGCAACCTTTAAGCAATGTGCACCTACATCACACTTCAGTCTCTGGTTGGCATTGTTAATAAACTTTACAAATGGCTGTGCACAATTGGATAGGGGAGCAGGTCCATGGGGAAGAGTTATTTGAGGAACTGACTGAAAACTAGTTAAATATAACACAAGACATATATTTACAGATTCAAAAAGTTCATGAAGAACAAAGAAAGGACAAACTAAAAAAAAACCAGATACATCATATTTGAAATACTGAGACCAAACATAAAGAGAAATAAATAAAATAAAAAGTGAAAAAAAAGGATTTTCACTAGGCTCAAATGAGCAAATGTTCTCCCCCAGAAAAATAAATAAATAAGCATTCCTTCTGTTACTGTTTCTTTTTATACAAGACATTTAAATCAATAAATAAAGTAGAGGAAAGGGTATTTGGGCTCTGGGAAAGGATGTGCAAAACATGAAGAAAAATACAAATTAGTGGGTAAAGTATCTAAATATTTGGGACCTCAAACAAATATTTGGTTTGATGTTGAGGCAAAGGAACCCCTGGGTTGTTTCTGTTTGTATCCTTTCTGGGTCCTCCTCGGTGGCAATGACCCACAACACAAACATCGCAAGGTGAGTGATGAAATATGAACAGGGATGGCTGGATGGGGTTGGCCATTCTGCTTCTGAAAACCAGGCAGCTAAGGAGCTTATTTAAAAGTGACCCGGCTCCCACTGTTTCTCTCTTACGTGCTTGACAATGGGGATGTTTCTCGATTGAGTTGCTCCTGTGAGCTTTCTGGGATGAAGCAGGGCCCAAGCTGCACCCACCTGTGGCATTTGCACAGACTGCTCTGACCTTGAGTGGTCCACTCGAGCCAGCCACTCTCCTTCAGCTAAGGACAGGTTGTCCTCAATTCACAAAGCATGTTTTCTTCAGATTCCAACAGTGGCGTTGCTATTTTTAGTTGACTCCGACTCACAATGACCTTCTGTACAGCAGAACGAAAGGCTGTCCGGCCCAGTACCATCTTCAGGATCACTGGTGTGATTGGCGTGAGCGAGTCCACTGTTGTGGCCATTGTGATAGTCCACCTCATGAGGGTCTCACCTGTTGTTGCTGACTGTTACCAACCATGGGGTCCTGTCTAGCGAGTGGTCTTATCTGGTAGCATCCAAAGTAAGCAAGCCCCTCCCGATGAGCAAGCTGTCGATGTGCATATGATAGCACCGCACGGAGAAGAAATCAGATGGTGCTCAGGTATCAGAAAGAATAACATCTTGGGTCTTAAAGCTTGTCTTAAAACAAGCAGCCATCTACGTGAGGGGCCAAATAAGTCCACACCAGCCTGCATGATTCAAGGATTGTAGATCATAATTCAAGACCAGAGGAGGGAGTTCTATTGGAACTTAAATATTGAGCACCTGGTATGCATCAGGAGACGGATGACAGTGGAAGCCCAACATCCATTTTCAGGATCCATATGTGGATTAATCCTCCAGTGAATCCCCTCTGACCACTGATCAGAGATGTGAACCATCTTCTTATGCAGATGTAGGCGGAATAAAACTTAACACCTTATCATTTGTTCTTCCTTTTTACCCATTTTAAATGTGTTCTAGTCTTGATTATTTTCTGCTTTTTCTTCTGTTGAACTTTTCCTCTCTTTTGATTTATTATTGTTTAGGGTTTCTTGTGTGTGTGTGTGTGTGTGTGTGTGTGTGTGTGTGTGTGTGTGTGTGTGTGTGTGTGTGTGTGTTTCTTTCTATAAAATCAAGATAGGTAAATCTACAGAGACCATAACTGGATTAAGAGTTCCTTGGGAGTATGGCAGGTGAGGTTGAGGGCGGATAGAGAGCTAATAGCAGTGAACACAAGAATGAAGAAAATATTCTAAAAATTGATTGTGGTGATGATTACGTGGCTCTTTTTTCCATGTTTAAACCATTGAATTGTATGGTGTGTGAAACATATGTCAATAGAATTGTTAACATTATTTTTAAAAAGTAAGCAAGTCAAAGTCTCATCATCCTTGCTTTTAACGAAGACACCTGTCTGCATTTTTCCAAGACTGAAGTGGCAGATTCTAAGTGACTTAGAATACTATATTCATAACCTAAAAAAAATCCCCTAAAGTGTGTAGACTAGAACTGGTTATTAATGATATCAACTTAAATCACCCCCCTCTTGATTGAAGGAAATTTAATAGCAATTTTATGTTCTTTAAATATTATTTTGAGTGCTCGCTTTAGAGACACATACTAAAATTGGCACAAAACAGAGAAGACTCGCATGGCCCCTGTGTAAGGATAACACAAAAATTCATGAAATATTCCATGTTTTTTCGTTATTATTGCTATTTTGTTGGGGGATTTTCCCCATGTTTCTCTGTGGATGAAATCCAGGATAAATCGATATTTCCACCTGAAATCCAGGTGAATCTATAAGGATAGGCCCTGCATTCATGGTTCTTTGGGGTGTGGCGGGGGGCTGGGGTGTGTGGGGGTTGTGGGGGAGCTCCTAAGGACGGGCGCAGGAAGAAGAGGGTGTCCTGAACCGATGGTGGTGACGACTACACAACTCTCCCTCATGGGACTGGACTGCTGGGTTGTCTGGCATGTGAATCATATACCAGTGAAACTGTCGAAAAAATAAAAGCAGATGTTATTTTGAAACCCTGGTTTTTAAATTCCTATAGCATAGCATAGAACATGAAATGATGGTAGAAATGAAGCAGGTATAGCAATGTAGAGACAAGTCAGATGAGACCATTTGAATGTTTACATCTGGATGAAATTTTACTGGGGTCTAAATTTACCTTAATTTATATTGGAGTCTATTTAAAACATGCTGTTCAGCTAAAGAGGGGCCCTGGTGGTATCATGGTTACACACTGGCTGTTCACCACAAGGTCAGCAGTTCAACCCCCCTGGCCACTCCACAGGACAAAGATGAGGCTTTCTATTCTTCTCCAGATTTACAGTCTCAGAAACCCAAAGGACAGTCCCACGCTGTCCTAGAGGGTCACTATGGGTCGGAATGGACTTGACAGCCATGAGGGTGGCCTTTTGATGCAGCTACAAGTGTCACCATAGGCCACTCGTCTCCTGGAGAGCCACGGTTTGGCTCCTCGCATAATCCACTTGAGAGAAGTAAGACACATTATTACAGAGCTCTACTGTCACCGAAGGAGCAAAAATAGGCCAGTTCATAATCGGCCAAATAGACAGAAGAAATGAAACCACCCTTGCTGATGTGACTAATTACCCCCAAATCCGTGGACATGACAGCATGTGTTGGCAGCTGTGGAGAGGAGGAGCGAATTTGATTTTTGCCACTTTTTCTGTTGTCTCCGTGATATGTTAGCAATTAAAACAGCAAATGGGAAAAAAAATCACCCCTGAGTGCTGTGCTCTGGTCATCAAACACCTACCTGAGATCAATCGGTCAACATGTGCCCAAAGCAAAGGTGAGCGGGCGAGCAGGGCGAGCAGACTGGAAACGGAGGGGCTGCGAACAAGGGCAAAGAAACATTCGAATAAAAATGATGAAAAAACCACCCAAGCTCACTGTCCTCAAGCCGATTCCTACAGAGCCACCCTGTCAGACCTGGTTGAACTTCCCCCTCTGAGTCTCCAAGGCTCTACATCTTTACAGAAGCACAAAGCCTCATCTTTCGCCCATGGAGCAGCTAGTGGGTTTGAACTGCTGACCTTGTGATTAGTGGCCCAACTGCAACCAGGGCTCCTTTCTGGACACACGGAATCCAGGAACAGGAATGGGAATAGCAATATCAGAAGGGGAGAGGGAAAGTGGGGGGGGGCGGAGAAGAAGGGGGAACCAATTGCAATGATGGACACAAAACCACATATACATCCCTCCAGGGGGAGGAACAACAGAAGCCCTGGGGGAAGAGAGACCGCGGCCAGTGTAAGCCATGAAAAGAATAGTAAGTTCTCATGGATCACGGGTCAGGAGGGCAGGGGGATGGAAGAGGGAGGGGAAAGAGGAGCTGCTACCAAGGGCTCAATAGGGAGTAAATGTCTAGGGTAGAATGATGGCAACATACGTACAATTATGCCTGATACAACTGTTGTATGGACTGCAATAAGAGCTGCAAGAGACCCCAACAAAATAATCTTTTAATTTAAAAAAAACTACAAAAGGGGAAAAAAAATTGAAAAGGAAGCCTAATTTGTGAAGCTTCTTGGGTGGCTTCTGCAGGTTTGTAAAGTTTCATCTCTAGGAGGCAGGCTTGTAAAGTTTCATCTAACACACAATATATGACCTCAAAAATTATGGATGAAAACTTCTTAAAGTTTTTTCCGCTTTATTGTGATTAGCAGGAATAGAATACCTCATACGGGTCTGGGGGTCAGCTGGGTCAGAGAAGCACGAAGCGGTGTTTGCTTTCGCCCAGCGTGGAAGAGAGACAGGCCCTCACTCGGTGACTGGCACCCTGCTATTCAAAATGAACTGTGAGTCCCATTTTGAAAATGTTTATGCATCAGTTATATGAGTTTTGGAAACTGTGGAGTGTATGCCAGTTGGTTATTAAAGGAAGCACACTATTTATTTTTCTCTTTTTCCACAGCCCAGAACCAACACATGTACAATTACCCGCCTCCTGGGGCTCCTCACGCAACGTGCAGAATCGGGCAAGCAGGAAGGAGCACACTGTTCGCAGCGTCCTGACTCACTAGCCCGTGTGCGCCCTGCACGCCCGAAACTGGGTGGTGGGCTGCAAGGCCAGCTTCCAGGCCCTGGCCCGCGCTGCGGAAGGCTGGGCTTTTCCACGGCTGACCATTCCAACCATTCCTTTACTCGGAAACCCTGTAAAGAGTAGGGACGTTGCTGATTAGTTTGGGAGCAATTCATTGTGAAGGAGCTCAGAATACTTCCAGCTTCCGAGAGACAGGGCAGAACCCGCCCCAGCGGGCTTCACGGTGTGTTGGAAGAATTCTTTTGCTATCTTGTCGCCCCAGTTCTCCATGAACTCTTTCAGCCCACAATGATTTCAGATGCTCACTCTCAGTCCTGAATTCGGCATTTTTAAAAGACACTACAGGAGTGGTTCTCAACCTGTGGGTCATGACCCCTTTGGGGTTGAATAACCCTTTCACAGGGGTCGCCTGATTCAAAACAGAAGCAAAATTGCAGTCATGAAGTAGCAACGAAAACAATTTTGGGGGGTAGGGGGGTGGGGGTGGGGTCACCACAACAGGAGGAACTGTGTGAAAAGGTGGCAGCGTGAGGAAGGTTGAGAATCACTGCAGGAGAAGATACTGACGACCGTGCTGGTGAAGAATACAGAAAGCACGAGGACGGCGGAAAGGACAAACAGATCTGTCTGGGAAGAAGTAGGGCCGGAGTGCTCCTGGAGGTGAGGATGGCGAGACATGACCTCAATTACTTTGGGCATGTGGTCAGGAGAGACCCACCCCTGGAGGACCTCATGCTTGGTACAGTGGAGGGGCGGCTCCAGGAGACGGACGGACACTGGCTGCAGCCCCGGGCTCGGGCATGGGCACGCTGGTGAGGATGGCACAGCACCTGCAGCGCTTCCTTTCTGTTGTGCGCGGGGTCCAGATGGACCTGCACCCACTCCACAGCACCAAGCAGCAGCAGCCGCTGTGCAGGAGAAAGACAGCCGCCGTGCAGGGAAATGGGGGGCCTTCCTTTCCCACAAAGAGCTTCCATCTTGGAAACCCACAGGACAGTTCTGCACTTCCTGTGGGGCCACCGTGCATTGGCATTGACCCAGTGACCATGAGTGTTAGTGTCTTGTCCGCACTGGAGGAAAAACAAGGAGCCATGGAGAGGAATGTGCTCCCGTCGGGGAGGGCTCCGAGGAGGGGCAGCCGGCCAGCAGAGCCTCTCCGCCCCAGAGAGCAGGTCATTCCCGAGGTCAGAAGGTGCAGGAAATGGTATTCCCACAAGCCACACCCCACCCCACTCTGCTTGGGAGTCACCCTACCACCCAGCCCACATGCCACCCCACTCTGACTGGGTGACACCCTATGATGCAGCCCACCCCACCCCACTGTGCTTGGGAGTCACCCTACCACCCAGCCCACCCCCCACCCCGCTCTGAGTGGGTGGCCATGGTTTTGAGGAGTGGGTGATGCATAGGTTAGGCAGGGAAACTAGGTGTGGGACCTACCCTCAGCCCCCAAGTTAAGTGCCATCGGGGGGAGCAAGCCTGGGACATGGAGTCCTGGGGTCCCTTCTTGGGAATAGGAGGGCGGGTCTCAGCAGACAAGGAAAGGAGCCCAGGTGGGTAGGCAAAGGGTTCTAACCCAAGAGTGGGTGGTTCAAACCCACCAGCTGCTCCACTGGAGAAAGGTGAGGCCGTCTGCTTCCATAAAGACTGACGGCCCCCGATCCCCTGGAGCTGTTCTGCTGTGGGTAACTGCCAGGGAAATCCACCTGGTAATAGGGGGCTGGCTTTGCCTTTGGGCTTCTGTATAGAGATGGTTTTATGGCCAAGACGCAACGAGCGTCCACAACTTTCTCAGGGTCTCGGGGAAGAGGAGGATCGTGGTTTGGGAAGGTGGGTGGGTTGGCCAGATGTGGTGTGATGACCAGCAGTCCCCGAGGTTCCTCAGGCTTCTTCCTCTGCAGCGCTGGCCGAGCTGGCGCTGGGGACCTGGCTCTCCACCAGGTGACCACGGGGCAGTGGACAAGCACTCTTCCCAACACTCGGCCGGCATCCAGAGACCAACCTGGGGAGACAGGAAGGCCAAGCCCTGAGTCAACCGCATCCCCACTGGACGGGATGAGGGGCTCAATGACCCAACACACCCGCTCAGAAATGGTTCCGTTTCCTGCCACAAGAGGCTCTGTGACTCAGTCAAAGAGTAAACCAGACTGGGACCAGCGAGGGCTCCTTTGCATAAATGAAGCTGGTGTGGACACTCGGGAATCCTGGGCTGTGATGGTTCCGTTCTCCCCACACCAAGCGCTCACCAGTGCGGGGCATCGTGGTGCTGCTGGTGGCGCCGTGCATGCTGACCCACAGTGACCCCCACCCACGCCCACCGCCCCGCCCCTCGGGCCTGGCAGCACAGCTCCCTCGGGTGCTGGTGGGAGCAAAGCTCCCTCAGAGCCACTGGCTGGTTTTGGAGCAGGAGGCTTGAGGCCAGTAGCCCCCGCACTTACCTTCTGCTGGGGACGACCCAAAAGGGAGCAGAGGGTTCCCAGAGCCTGTTGGAAGAACCAATGGCCATTCTCTAGTTGTCCTTCCTGGCCATCCTGTTAGCCAACAGGTCCCTGAAGCGCCTTCACCTGCGGGTTTCTGCGCTACTCGGAGGCTGCCCAGATCGGTGCTGACGGACCACTCAC